AAGATAAGTCCAAGTTTTGGATAAACATGTTCTTATTTAACCTATAAAGTTGGCAATACGATGTTTGTTTTAGCATCTCATTTTTGCATACCAGCGATGGATTGATATACGAAGCAACCGGTGTAGAGATCCTCTTAAAGTTTATCTGGCAGAAAGTGTTTGACTAAATACAGCGTTATCAGAATAGTGGGGTTGCACGTTCTCGCCCTTTGCGTGAACAACCTATCGATCATGCCATTTAACAGGTTTCTGGAAAGTTTTCAACATAAAAGCTTCTCGTTCTCATGATAAGTATGGCTACCAGCACTGCAATTGTCAGTATAAGGCATTTGTTTTAGATGAGATAGCATAGAACACCAAAAAGACGAGATATTATATACATAGAAGAGGTCGGGAGGACAAGTGGTGAGTACTTTATATTTTCCTGGCACGTGATACTCGGCCTTGAACTTGGTTCCACGAGTCGCGCAGCCAAAGCCCAATGATTTCACACCTACTCTACAAGACAGGCCTCTAGCAGATGAGATCAAATCAATCACACCTAGATACGGAGGCCCTCCCTTTAATGCTGCTGCACTACAGCCCAAATGGATGTAGTATCAGATGGCAGCAAACAAACTCCTAGCAAATGATCTACTAGGGGGTTGAAGATAGTTTCAATAGTTTGTTTACAGGTTTCAAATTTTACAAATGACTGCGTAGACTGATAATTATTTAACTTGATATCAGATTATGCCGGTGACAAAGGTATGTAGGTTCTCCAAGCAAAATTTGGGGGATCCAATATTATTCAGAAGTGAAAAAATAACTATTCAAGCGACAAACCCCTCTCAATTGACGGTGAACGCCTACTTAAGATAAACAATCATAGAAAAAAAAAACAAATACGAGTAAACCTGGTGAGGGGGACTGAAATGACCCTTTCTGTCGTATTAACCCTGGCCCGCAACGATAACCTAACCCCGGCCGTAGAGCCAACATCAGAGACTAAAATGCCGGATTCTTTACCTCTGAGCGTTGGATCGAATGCTTTGATATTAAGTCGCGCGCTCACTGATTTGTCTGCTGTCAAGGGTAATATCAATTCATCTGGCAGTAGCGTCCCACCAATTGAACTATCAAGACAAGGAGCGGCGCGAGTCTCATATTAAATTTTTAAAAATTGTAACCCTCTGAACTTTAAATAGTTATCCCCTACTGAAATGGATTACTGATTTTTAGTCTACGCGACCGCTTTTATCAGTCTTAGACCCTT